ATCTTCATGAATGTTCAAAAAAAAAAAAAAAAATTCTTTAAGGAACCTTTCAGCTTTCAAGAGAGACTTCAAGGAGTCAACTCTTTGGAATTGTAACGGATCAAGCATTTACGGTACTCCTTCCACACGACAACTACAAAATCATTTGATCCATTATTTATTATTCATGAAGAGTATTTTATTTTATAGTTTAAATTGTAATTATATTATAAATGATTTTTTAATTATGATCTAGATTAAATGTGTAATAAATATATCATTTTATAATTAATTTGTATAAAAAATATAAATAATGATTTTGATTAAATTAACTAATTAATTAAAATTATCTACGTGTTAGTAATATTAAAATATATGTTAATTTTTATAAATTTTTATGTAAATTAATTATAAAAAGGTGCATTTATTGCTCTCTAAACACAAGTTAGAGAAACCATACTACAAAACAAGATTTATTGGATAGAAAGATAATCCCAAATAGTAGGGAGTTTGTTTATATTTAATAATTTAAATTGTACAATTCAAATTTGAATTGTACGGTAAATTTTTAAGAAAAAAAGTGAAAATTAAGATGTTTTGATATTTAAATATTTTTAATGGATCTTTATTATATGTTGATTCATTAAAAATATTTAAATAATTTCATAAAAAATTTTAAAATTTTAATCATTAGAATGTTTTGATTTTCTACTATCATATTTATTAATATCGAAAAAATAGTTTATAGGTCAAAATGTACCTTTACTAACTGCCCTAATGTGGCAAGTCTAATTGAAGAAGTTTAATTTGAAGGTTTCATTAATGCGATGGCAAAACAAAAAAAAAGATTGCATTTTAAATTGTAAATATTTCTTTTAGTAAAGTCTATATGGTTTGTATATGTTGTAAACCCATCCCTCCCTCTTCTACCTTGGCAAACTATCGTTATGCTTAATTCTCTGATAGAGACATTTCAACAAACATTTGGCATATTTCGTGTTCTTTTCTCTCAATTTTCCTTTTATAAACATACTGTGGGGCAAACGTAGCTTAATTAGTTTGTGAGAGATGAGGTTAGAGCTTGTTAGAGCTTGGCCTTTTTATAAACTGCATATATATAATTAATGAATGGATTTTGATTGTATTGGAAAGTTTTAAGCTTACAAGGGAAAAATGGAATGTTCTTGGCCAAAGTGGACGCCAAGCCATGTTGGACAGAGGTCTAACGTTTTCTAAAAAGTGAAAAGCATTGTGATGAAGATATGTATGAAATTCGGGACATGTACTCTGCTCCTGGGAAATTTTCTCTGTATTCTCCTCTATATCAAAAAAACTACTGTTTAAA